TTGAAAAAAAATTTTTTATCGAACTGCAGAGTGTGGAATACGCGAATTTTTAAGGAACAAAATAACCTAATATTCTATTAAATATATAAAATAAACTTATAAATATAAATTTTAAATAGAACTATGGAGAGTAAAAGTGGCCAAAAACGTTATTTTTGACCACTTTTACTTCAAGTTACTCAAAATCCTGACGAAGACGAATTTTTCAAACGGCATCGTGTTCAGAGCAAAAAAAATCTTCAGGAAACGTGCGATTGCACTTCGAGAGAATTTTGCTGTAGCACAGTGTAATTATAATGATTCGTCATACAGCATTCTTTTGTTTGAAGACCAACGTGCATACTTCACTTAATAATAAAATATTGAAGAAAACTTTTTTTATTCGCCTTTTTCCTATAAATTTATCAATTACACATCAGAAACCATAGTGAATTATTTCTGTCACAATATATCGCGTATACAATTCTAATCTTGAATATGCTGACATGATTTTCGTGTATTTACATTTTGAGAAATCTTTGTATCCAATAAAAAATCTTTTTAAAAAAAGAAAAAATATACGCCAAATACATAAAAAATGTCACTTACATTCTTTCTAAAACTAAGAACAATTTTTTTATAATTTAAATATACAATTATTAAAAAATTGATTGATCAAAGATACTAGTGAAATCAATAAAATTATAGCCAAATTATTAAACTAGCCTCATTATTTAAAAAAAAACCTTAAAAAAGCTTATTTGTGAAGAACATTCAAAAATTTAAAAAATAGAAAAGTGATAAACTGGATTATATGAAGAAAAAACTTGACGTGCAATAATTACATTTGCCGAGTTGCAATAATTACATTTCTGTATTAAACAATATGTAAATTTATATGAAAATGATTTTAATGTATATATATATATATATATACTTCATATATATATATATACATATATACATACATATATACATATATACATCACTTTTCCATTTTTTATATTTTTGTTATATTATGTTTTTCACAAACAAGCTTTTTTGAGGTCTTTTTTAACTAATGAGGCTAGTTTAATAACTTGACTATAGTTTTATTGATTTCACGACTATTTTTGATTAATCAATTTTTAAATATATGTATATTTAAATTATAAAGAAAATTGTTTTTAATTTAAAAAAAAAATGAAACATTTTTTATGTATTTGGCGTATATTTTTTCTTTTTTTAAAAAGATTTTTATGGGATTTATATATCTGGAAAAATTCCGACCAATATTCTTTTTAGAGCATTTACTGCTACATTCGCAAATATATTCACTTCCGTGTTACAAAAAATAACGATTTCTTCAATTGTCACGAAAAGGGTTAATCGCAACATTGATTTTACCAAATGCTTTTATAATCTCTGAATGTCAAAATGTTGCGACGAAGTAATGCTACAATCTTGTAATAAAATGTACGTAATAAACCATTATCAAAAAGCATGCAGTCATCTATTCTTTGTAACATATTGATTTGACTTTATTTTTTACGATTTGGCACGACTTTATCTTCCAAAAATAGAAATATGGTCTTTTCTGCAACACTTTTAAAAATTCTGATGTATATTGTGTATTTAATTGATGTATTGAAGAAGATTTCATAAAATAAATACTATTTTATCTCTAAAGTTCTATACAGATATTATAATATTGAAAAATAATGAATTATAATAATTATAAATGAATTATAAAGAATATTTATGTGTGTATACGTTTAAATTCCTGTTGGACATATAATGTTTATGATATAAATAATTTGCTATGCTTGTAAATATGCTTCAAAAATATTATTTTTTTATAATTTTGGTAACTAAATTTTATATACGTAATGTTATGTTTTATATTTATTTATACTTATATCAATATATAATATGTGCAACCGTAATAAAATTTTGCTCAAATAAAATATAAAAACATCTAATAAAATAAATACGCGATTAAAGTTACATGCAACGATACATATTGTAGTAATTTGCGTAGTAAATTAGTACGAGTATTAAAAGCAAACATATAACTATCCCGAAGAACATTCTGACTCAAACGATACAACTTTATTTTCTGAAAATTGTAATAGTTTTTCTACTGCTGCAAAGTTTGTATTATTTTCAAAATTAATACGTGTATTATATATATCTAATTATATATAAGTCATATTTTATTTTTGAATCATGTCAACGAATATTTATTTCGTTTTATTTCGAGATTGTAATCTTTACCGTTTCTTTATATTTTTCACGCACAAGATAAAAATTTTTTTATGACATTTATATGATTTAAAATATGTGATATTTATGTACATACAAATATTAATTCCTCAAAGTATAATAAAAAATATAATTATTCGACTCCAAAGTCATGCCTTCATGCCTAAATCGCTTTTCTTGGGCTATATAAGCTATACGCGTTGCAAGTAAGTCACAAACGTATAGATATTAATACAACTTTAGTTTCAGCAAGCATTAAAGATGCAACTGTCATTTCTATCATTGGTTCTTGCCACAATTTTTGTCATGACGATCATATACGCACCCGTGGAAGCAAACGCCGATGCTGATCCAGTGGGCGGAGTAATTGACACGGTAATTATTAGTCATTCTTTATTAAAGCTTATTCTACTGCAGGATTTTTTCTTTTACATATAAATGGAATACCTTTTTTTAGATCGAGGCCCAGATCAAGGATAAATTGCCAGAGCTAGCAAAACTTTTGGTAAGTATATAGTATAAATAGAAAATACGGACTAAGATTTGTTATCATATCGTACTAACTCTTCAAAAATGACACAAATTAAAAGAATTAAATTTCCTATACTTTTCATGATTTATAACATAATGTTTGTTTAATTCTCGCATGGGAATAATGCGAAAATCACGTATTGTTGTGTCACTTCAAAAGCAAGAGTGCAATATATTAATAAAAACGTGTTTGATATTTAAGGGAATAAAGTAGTTGCATTTTTCGTGGAATAAAGATGAACACTCGGATGAAACTCACAACGGAAAAACTGGGAAAATGATTGCAATAAAAATGTAACTTTACAACGTATGCATATAAACAATATAATTTATATTTTCAAACAAAAAATTATATCTGTCTCTGTTATATTTGTTTGTTTTATTATTATATAGTAAACAACAAGCATACATGATTGGCATATTGTGTTTTATTCATACAAGTTTAATGACATTTTATTCTTATTATAATTTGTGATCTTCTGTACGTTAAATTTGGGTAATAAAAATAATATTCAGACAACATCTATTCTCGGCCGATTTTGGCGAATTTCCTTTTATTTATTGTATATACACAGCGACCTTATTGAAATTATTATTATGACGAATTCACCTTACAATGCGCACCTTTTATAAATTGTGCGAAATTACTACAATCTTAGTGATCGATTGGGATTTAAGACACCCGCCTCGTATAGGATTGGAAAGTTCCGTGTTTAAATATTAGCCGATTTAAATAATATTCTTCACAATAAGATTTTACTGACAAGCTTGGTTACCGTGAGTTTAAGATGTTTGTAGCATTATCATTGAATTGACGATTATTTTAATTTGTGGTATCACTTATGCTTTAGATTATAATTGGATTAAAAACCGACAATCAGCGATAATCGACGAGCAATTTACTGTAGTTGAAATTAAAAATAAGAAAATATTGTTATTAGACACCAACATCTAGCCTCAGCCATCTTTGACAATTTCTCTTTATTGTTGTATATTTGTTGTATATACACAACGGCCTTGTTAATATTATTAAAAATTTAAGAGCCAGTGACTCAGTGGCAAAATTGCTATCTGAGGAGAAGCAAAATGTAATATTTAATATCAGGGACCAGGACCGGATCGAAACCGTTATTTTAGTCGAATCGACACTGAAAACTGAATCGAAATATTGTGCAGGTCAATGGACCGAACCCATATAACAAAATTTTTTTCCCATTTTCGGTCTAGTTTTTAGTTCGAAAAAAGATACACGGCTTCTATATTCCATCTTTCTTCCTAATCAAATTTCACGCCTCGTTTGATCTATTCTTATTGTATCTATCAAATATCCCGCCTACTCTATATACACAAATCTTATTAGAATTGAAATTTATAAATTGATTTTAGGATTAAAATCTTATTATTAGAAAGTTATAACAGCAGAAGAGAATCTCAAGAAAAATTAATATCTTGGAATCCTGACAAGAAAAAAGTATGATTCAACCACACACACACATACAAAGTTGTATCAATTAGTCATAATTATTTTGACGGTACCAGCCACGCAAATGTCGAACGGCTGTTCAGGATTAAAATTTGTTCTATTCCCGCTAAGAATGAACATTGATGAAGAATTCTGGAAAATCAACTATTGATTAGAGCTAATCAAATTTTCATCAACAAAAATTTTGTTCAATAGATATAAATTTGTTATAATGTACAACTTATATTTTGTATTACTTTTTTTATGCATATAATACAGTGAAACCTCAATAACTCGAATCTCTACAACTCAAAAACCTCTACGACAAAAATTTTGTTCATCCTTTTCCGCTCTGCTACGGAAAACGTCTATAAATCGAAATAAAACTTACCTTAACTTGAATTATTTGTCAGGCATTTAGATATATATTTTATCTCTAACTCGAATTTAAAGTAGCCAATCTCTACAAGTCGAATTTCAATTGTCGCTATCTCTGCAATTCGAAGTTGTAGCTATGTGTAACTGTGAATAATAGCCTGGTATTTTGATTTATGGTTCCATTTAGGATATGTGTGCAATAAATAATTTACTACCAAATATTGATTTTTTTTCTTCTAAAAGTCATTATAATCGGAAAATTTAAACTCTCGTACAAAGCCTCCGTAAGTCGAATTTTCATATGTTAACCCTCTTTTACTCGAATTTTGATAAGTCAAAAAATCTATAACTCGAACAGTTTCTCGGGTCCCTTGAGATTCGAGTTGTCAAGGTTCGACT